AGTTTAAAACCTCAGTCCATACCTGGTTGAGTATGTTTGCCCTCAAAAAGCCTGGTTTTTACTGGGACTAACAAAGGGATAAGATTGCTAGGATGTTTGCAAATACATACAACATATAGTCATGTTATGTGTCTGTCTAAACTTGATCAAGATTCTCTCTCTCTCTCTCTCTCTCTCTCTCTCTCTCTCTCTTGCTCTCAAAACAAAACAGGACCCCACTATTTAGCCCTATTTGACTATGAACTTGCTATGTATACCAGGCTGGTCTTGGACTCACAGGGATGTGCCTGCATCAGTTTCCTGAGTGCTGAGATGAAAGGCATGCATTCTAGGAATGACTTTTAATTAACCCCATAACCAAAGATGTTTTGAGATTGTTTTACTACTGTCTCTGCTTGTTTATATTAAATAAGGATATTAGGCTGTGTGATTCTTTCATACCCTGAGCATATAGCCTTAATCCCTTAATCCCATTCCCAGTGATACTGTTCTCTTATGGAAAGAAGTTCAGAATTCAGTATTTTCACTCACTTGTGGAGTTTTTCTATGACTGCCTTCAAACCTTCAAACTTTATGTGTTAAGAAAACTCCTCTCTGCTGGAACTCTTCTTCCAAGGCATGTCACAGAGAACTCTACTCTTAAAATGGATCTCAAGCAAACAAACTTTCAAAATCAAAACAAACAAATATTTAAAAAAAAAGAAAAAGGAAAAAAAGCTTGGTGTGGTGGTATATGCCTTTAATCCCAGCACTCAGGAGGTAGAAGCAGGCAGATCTCTGTGAGATTGAGGCCAGCCTGGTCTATACAGCAAGTTCCAGGTCAGCTGGGGCTACAGGGACCCTGTCTCAACAAAACAAAACATAAAAAGAGGAAAATGAGAAAAAGGAAGGTAATAAATTATAGGCTGCATTTGGTTTGCCTTCAGATCAATGCCGGTCTCATACAGTGCAAACCTGACCTCGTCAGTAATCTCTGCAGTAGGCATTCCCACTGCCAAGTTATCAGAGGTTTGTATTTCTTCTTATTGTGCCTCAACTGCAGTGGAATGCGTTGCACAGTTGGTATACTTTTGAATGAGACATCCCGGGAGGGCACAAGCCTGGCTGCTCTTGCTCTCTAGGTCATATGGAAGTCTCATGGCTGCTGTCTAGAGAGCAGCAGCCCAGGCTTCCCCCTCTCAGTCCAATGATGCTCCCACCAGTCTGCCCAAGTCTACCTTCAGTTTCCTGAAAGTGAACAAAGCATGGGCCAGCAAGACCATTGAATAAAAAGGGAATGAATCATCTTACTCACATGTTCTCAATGGAGTGGTTCTGTGGATAGAATTACCTCAGATGCAAAATTCCGTAAGAACAGACCTTAAAATTCCTTGGACAGACCTTAAAAGGGAGTCAGAAGAGGCCTGCTGGAGTGGCCTGTTATATTAGGGCTCTGTGTTGTGAACAGACATTCCCCAAGGAAGTCACACATGAACCTCATCACGGAGCCTACATCTCTACACCTACCACATAGAGGGCATAACTACCAAGTCTAGTCTACTAGGCATGAGATAAAATACTGTTCCTCTATCAATATTCTCCTTCCTGAAATTCCACTCTATTTTGGAGTGTGCCTGGAGCTGTATAAAGAAAAGAAGAGGGGAGGAAAGAGTGAAAAATAAGAAACAAAAACTCAGACTGTGCTTCTCCCACTTTGGCTCCCTAAGGGCTAGACACCAGGCCAGGAAAATAAGGGTGTTAAACAGGCTATGCAATTATAGTTTTAAAAATATACTTTATTATTTTTATTTTATGTGTATCAGTGTATTGCTACATGTATGTAAGTGTACCCATATCCTGAAATGTCCAAAGAAGTTAGAAGAGGGTGTTGGATCCCATGGAAATGGAGTTAGGACAGTTGTTAGTTGCCATTATCGGTGCTGGGTACTAAACCTGGGTCCTCTGCAAGAGC